TAAGAAAAAGGCAAATAATCCAATACATACTTGAGGGAAACTTTAGCAAGCATTCACAAAAGAGGATATCCAAATGGCCAATAAACATACAAAAAAGGATACAACTTCATTACCACCAGAAAAATGCAAATTAAAACCACAATGAGAAATCACTATACCCCCATTGGAATAGATACATTTAAAAAGACTGGTAAAACCAAGTGTTGGTTAGGATGTAGAGCAACTAACTGTAACTCTCATACATTATTAATGGCAATGTGAACTGATTCAACCATTTTAGAAAAGAGTTTGGCAGAAACTTTTTTTTTTTTTTTTGAGACAGAGTCTCACTTTGTTGCCCAGGCTAGAGTGAGTGCCATGGCGTCAGCCTGGCTCACAGCAACCTCAAACTCTTGGGTTCAAGTGATCCTTCCGCCTCAGCCTCCCGAGTAGCTGGGACTACAGGCATGTGCCATCATGACCGGCTAATTTTTTCTCTATATATTATTGGCCAATTATTTCTTTTATTTATAGTAGAGATGGGTCTCACTCTTGCTCAGGCTGGTTTCGAACTCCTGAGCTCAAACGATCCACCCGCCTCGGCCTCCAGAGAAGCTAGGATTACAGGGTGGGCCACCGCGCCCGGCCTGGCAGAAACTTTTAATTTGGACACATATTACTATATCTGGGCAATTCCTCTTTGGGTATGTAAAAGGTCAGGATAATTTTACGAAAATATGTTGTTGAACGTTCAAAACACCTTTATTTCTAAAAGCCCCAAACTAAGAACCCATTAAAAGAAAAATGATAAATGGTGATATATTAATGCAATGTAACATTACATAGCAATAAGAGTGAATGATCTTATTGTATGTACCATGATGTACATGCAACATGGACGACGACCACAAACATAATGCTGACTGGAAGCAGCCAGACATTAAGTCATATCATATGATTTATTATGTAAAATTCAAAAACAGGCAAAACAATCTGTTGTGCTAGAAGACAACATTTACATTTGGGGAGAGGTAGTAACTGGGATGACCAGCAGCTTGGAATGCTCGTAACATGGGTGGCTTACTATATAAAAATTCAATGGGCTGTACAATTATCACGTGCTCACTTTTCTGTATATATTCTATCTTAATAAAGTTAAAAACAAAAACAAACCACTATACAAGTCTGGGCCATCTCTAGAGTTTATGATGCTAGAAGGAAGGAGGCAGCAGAGAACTACTTTTAAAGGTTATGTAGGTTATTTGGAAACATGCTCATTGTCCTAGGAAAAGAGAGTATTAGTACGTAGGTGATACCAAGTTAGGTGAAAGAAAGGATCCATTACTAAAAAATGTAAACTATGAAAATTGGCTCAAGAAATAAACTAAACAGATGAGAAAAAATTGAAAAGAATTTCAAAGATTTAACCTCTAAACATTCCAATTGAGATTATTAAATCTTAAAAATAAAACAACCAGGTAATTCTTATATCATTCTATTCTAGGGCATACAGACAGACATATACTCAATTATTTTACAAAGCCAAATCTAATTAAATGCACACACAGGAAGGAAACGCTGACCAATCTTACTTGTGAGCATATGTGCAAAAATTCTAAATAAAATATTACTAAACTGAACTTAGCAGTAAATTAAAATAATATACTGTAGCCATGTATTTGAATTTCAAATTAGAAAATTTAATATAATTTGTTATATTAATAGGTCAAAGAATGAAATTCTCCTTCTTCTTTGACCAATGAAGGTATTTACTACACTCAATAGCACAAAGAAAAGACCATATAATCATTTCAACAGATGGAGAAAAAGCATTTGCTGAAAAATCTAATCCTGATTAAAAATCATACAAAACCAAAACCAATTTTAGTAAACCAGAGCAGAAGGAAATATTCTTAGTATGACAAAATATTAATCAAACCAGAAGTAAGCAACAACCTCATTTCTAGATTAAACACTAGAAGGAACTTCTATTCAAGTCAGGTACCAGACAAGGATGTTGCTGTAATTCAGAGTGGTCCTTCTGAAACATAAATCAGATATTATGCCTGTGTTCAAAACCTTGCAATTATCTCCCCATTTCACTCAGTATTTATAAAAGACAAAAGTTCTTACAATGGCCAGCGAGGTCTGGTACTGCCACTTCCCACTTTGCCAATCCCAATTTCACCCCATCCCCAAACTGAATGACCTCACTGACCAATCTCCTCCTCACTCTAGCAACAATGGCATTTTTTTTTTTTTTTTTTTTTTGGTTCTTTCCTCCAAAATGCCAAGTGTGTATTCATCTCAGAAATTTTGCACCGGCTACTCCCTCTGCCTAGAAAGCTCTTTCACCAGTTAATGTCACTCATGCTCTCACCCCTTCAAGTTTCTGTTCCAAGACCACCTATCTGAAAGGTCTTCCCTGATCATCCTACATAAAATATGACCCCTCCACTGTCTCTATCTCCTTAACCCATTTTTCCATTTTGTAAGTACTTATCAACAGTTGATTTATAACAAAATGCAAATGTTTATCTATCTTCTCACAACTAGACTATAAATTGTTTTGCTCACTGCTATAGTTATCCCCCAAAGCCCCAAATAGTGCCTAGTCAATAAAGGTACTAAATATGTTTTGAATATATAAAGACATACACAATTTTTCTAGTGTTTCTAACTGAAGGAGTCAGATGAGAAACAAAAAGTTGAGATATTAGAAAAAAACCAAAAACTACTATTTGTAGATAACAAGAAATTCCAATGAATCAACACAAAATATTAAAAGGTTAGAAAGTGGACTAGATAGATATAAGATGGATATATAAAAATCAGTAGTTTTCCTACATACTTATAGCCTGTTTGAAAATGTAAAAAATTTACTATAGCATCAAAAATATAAGACATACAAGCTTAATTTAAAAATGTATAAAACTGTAACAAGAGAACTATGAACCTTTTACTAAGAACATAAAATAACATTTCAACAAATGAGGACAAATTATATTTCTAAATGGTATATATCCAATATTGCAAAGGTACTAATATTAGTTCTTCCTGAATTAATCTAGAAATACAATGTTTTTTCAGCCAATATCCCAATGTAGTTTTTGGTAAATGACAAAACTTATTTTAGTTCATCTTTTAAAAAAAAAAGCCTAAGAATAAGTAAGAATATTTTGGAAAAGAATAATGAAAGGAGATTTAAATCTATAAGACATCAAAGGAGAATATTAAACTCTAAATAATTATTATAACTGTGGTACTGGCATGGAAATGGAAAAAAGATCAATGGAGGAGAGAAACACAGATATGAATATTCACGGGATCATCTCACAGGCTTCACAAACTCAACCTTCACAAACTCAACCTTCACTTCACAAACTCAAGTGATACTCAAGGTATCACTTTTCCTCTTTACAAATCCTAGTTGTTCTCCAAAATTCCCTGTATCCCAGCAAGTGGCACAACATTCACTCAGCTGCAAGTCAGAAACCTGGGAATCATCTTTAAACTTCTCCTTCAAACCCAACCTTCAATTAATCACCAAATTCAACATCCCTCAAACACAACTTGCCAATTCTCTCACAACTCATATCTACTGTTAGCACTCCCATTCAAGTTACTACCAATATTCTTTTCTGGATCACTGCATCAGCAACTAATTAGGTTCCCCACACTCACTTTCACCCCCCTCGGATCTGTTCTCCAAATTACAAACAGCATTATCTTTTAAAATCACAAATGTAATGACATAAGTACCACTTAAAACTCTTTAATGCCTTCCCATGCTCTTAAGATAAATCAAAGTCCTTCATCTGGCCTATAATAATAGTTCATTAGCCTATTAATGGGTAAACAGACTCCCGGACAGCTTCAACTATATTAAAATATATCCTTTAACACAAAAGTAATATGGGGGAAAACCAGTCATTTTTAATATGTCTTCACTCTTAAATCTATACAATTTTGCTCCATGTTCAAGGATCCTCAAGTGTATTAGCTTTCCTCTGTTTAGCATATAGATAATGCTCCTCCCTACTCTAGGATCATCTCAAGTGCTAGTTCCTCTGCCTGGACCCTCTCTCATGCCCTTGCATAAAGATATCTTCCTTAGAGAAGCCCTCTTCTGAAGTATGGAAAAAGGTCAGATCTCTTTATTATTCTCTCTTAAAGCAACCAAAGTCTTCAGAGTCTTCACTATAATTTCAATGAACTATTGTTGTGAGTCTTTCCCACTATGTTAAGTTTGATTAGGGCTAGAATCACATCTGTTTTTGTTCACCATTGCATACTCAAAGCCTAAAACTGTGCCCCCCAAATAGGTACTTAATAAATTTGTTGAAATTAAATATGAATTTTAATTACTATTCTGTGATAACAGAATGATGCCTTCAGGAGCACCTAGTGAAGCTCACAATCATTGTGATTCAACTGCCTTAGCTACCCCTTCCTTTATGGCAGTGGGGCAGGGAGAAGGATTTCTCAAGTTGTGAGATGTTATACAATATGCTGTCTGATTCCAATGTCAAGGATAAATTTGTTAAACCAATCAGCTTAATGGTAACTCATCATTCAAAACCTCAGGAAAGTATTATGAGAAAGTGTATATTTTTTTTCCCCATCCTCTACTCTGAAGAGAGGGAAAGTATAGACTAAATTTAAATGACTTTTTCTCCCAATTATTTTGATATACAAAAATATGTTCTAATATATTTGAAGATCTCTGAAATCTGCCCATGAATAAAATATTATTCTATTCAGGAATATACAGATTTTAGCTCTTTGTTATTTTAAGGCCTTACTTTTGTTAAGGGCAAACAAGAAAGTTCTTCTAGTTTTTCAGTACTTACAAGTGAAGGAACCGTGAATATCTGAACCGAGAGGTCTGCGATTGAAAACTCTCTGTCGTGGTCATCTGTCACATAATCACTCTGCAAACGCTCATAGTTCTATTAAGAAGGCAAAAAAAGGCAAGGAGTGCCAGCTATCAGTTACAAGAAAAGGTAAGCACTACTCACCAGAGTAGGTGCGGTGAAGAACTGGACAGACAGAGCAGTCACCGACACTGCTCGCTCGTGATCATCCTCCATAAAATCTCTCTGCAACTGCTGGTAATTCTAAACAACAAGGGGGAGATTCACCTCTAATCCACATTAACCCAAAGTTTAAGATTATAATGAAAAGTCAGTGCTGGAGGAAGTAAGATAACACTGCTATGAGAATGATAACTGGGATGATTTCTACCAATTAATTCCTATATAAATATTGATTCACTGTGGAATCCTGTATAAGTATTGATTCTTCTGAAGTACATGGCAGTTTACCAGCCCAAACAAGCAGTCACATCTTCTATAATCCTGAGATGCCAACATACACTGGTGGAGCTAAACCACAGCAGCATTACACTGTCTCTGCTGAAACCAGACTTTTATTACGTATAGATGCATATCAGAATCATACGATGACTTCTGCAAAGTACACATGCTTGGGCCCCCACTCTTAGTGAATATGCTTGAGTAGATTTGATAATGGAACACAAACACATGTATTTTCAAAGAGCTCTTTGAATGACTCATACATGCTTCCTTGGTTAAGAACTCCTAATTCGAGTGAATACAAAAAATAAGTGGTTAGCTTAGTCACATGCTGCTGAAAGGGAGTAGAATTTAATTCAATTATATTAACTTAGAGTTCATAATTCTTAAATCATATCCATTTACACATGTTATTTCAACTATGATTATTGTTTGCTTATATGAACTTTAGTGAAAACGGTATCATAATTTATAGTGGCCTAGGTTTAAATTTATCATTTCATATCACAGAGACTGCACAGACGAGTACTCATGATACCATGGGAGGTAATGAACAAGAAGTCTCACTCCTATAATTTTATTATAGGAGTGATAAAAATATTATTGATAAAAAATATTATGAAGTTTCTTAGAATTTGAAATCAATACATTGATATATTACTATCAGATGCTAATTTTTTGAAGCCTACATATAATCATGGGCCACAGTTACTCCATATATAACCTGTTTTGTTATCAAAATCGAAAAACCACTTACTTTTGCAAATCGAACAGCAAAGAGTTTCTTGTATTTCAAATCCATAAGCAGACTGCTCATGAACAACTGATGATATACACTCCTAGCACCTTTTAGAAAAAGATCAGGGTGTGAGATAAGGATATACCAAATAAGCCAAAAACAGTATTTCCAAAATTCTTAATGTGATCAATTGTATTTTTTTTTTTTTTTTTTTTAAAGATGAGGTCTTGCTATTTTGCCCAGACTGAACTCAAACACCTGGGCTCAAGCAATCCTTCCACCTCAGCCTCCTGAGTAGCTGGACTACAGGTATGTGGCACTGCAACTGGATTGTATTTTAAGCCTCAAGAGCAAAACTATACATTTTCCTTAGCACAAAATATTCATAATCTACGTATTTATAAAATCAGGTTTTCTAAACACAATTTTGAAACAAAGTATAAAGCCTATTTGGATCATGAACCCCCCCAAAATCTATATTTTTCAAAGACTGCAATAACTGCAATAAAAACATAAATATTTATTAAATATCTTCCTAAATGAAAAAACCTTAACATCTCAATTACTTATGTAGATACCCTATACTTTAAAAGTAGTAAGAGATTCACCTTTCCATAACTTGGAATCACTAAGCATCAATCTATCCACTAGAGAAGAGTTTTCACCATCTGGCCCTTCTTGTAAACCAACTTGACATAAAATCCGGCGAAGGCCATCTTTAAATAGAAGGAAAAGTAAGTATGAGATAGCAACTTCAAATATTAAAATAAAGTGACATTTTAATAGATGTTCAAACAGATCTATAGAGTTTTACATGTTTTATGATAGGTCAAATTTATTCAGAAAAAGTAAACATGTTAATTATTTTATTAATATTTTCACAAAAGGATAAATTCCAAATCTTACTTCACACACCAATTCTTACTCCAGAATGTTAAAATATATGTCTATCATAAAGGCGATAACTTCCTGTGTTTTAATGAATTTAACTAAAGAGGAAAACATCCCCAAACTACTGAATACTGTTCTTTAAGCACTAATGCCCACTAAACCAGATTACAATAAAATTGTTATACATCCCACGATAATTGAAGGTAGGTATATTAAATTGTGCTAACAATTAAAAGAAGGAATGCATGACCTCTACACTATGTCATGTAACAGTGCATTTTATTAATGCTATACAAAATGTTCTTCATTCATTGAACAAAAATTCATTGTGGACCTGGCATGTGAGAGGCCCTGGCAGACAAATTCCTACATCATCTAAATGCTAACTTTAGAAAAGTTCTTCAAATATTAATATAAGCATTAAAGCAAACAAATCTTTAACATCTTTTTGTTTCACCATACTTTATAATTTAAATCAGTGTTTTTAGTCTTCTTCAAGCAGGCAAATAATCAAAAAGAAATGGAGTAACTTTTAAATTGAATTATAAATTTGCCAAATAGAAGTAATTAAAAAGGTTAAAGGAAAAATCTAATATAAATATTAAATATAAGCATTTAAATTACTGATAAATATCTTAAAGAAAAATTTCAGCAGGAAATTACTGATAAATACGTCAAAGAAAATTTTCAGCAGGAAATTACTTCCATGATACTATTCATTAATACTGTACCACAGTACTTGGCATACAGGCATCCAATGGAAAACACCAAAAATTAAGAATACGGGGCTGAGAAAAATAACTGGAAAGACATTTAAAAGGCAAGAAAACATGTTCTGTTAAACTTCCATGCCTCTATATTTATAACTATCAGTTCAGTGTGGTAATGCTCGTTGTCATAGCCTTTCAACACAAATGTTTTAGCAATTTTCTTTACAGTAAACATCTGAATGTCTTTTCTTTTTTTTTTTTTTTTTGAGACACAGTCTCACTCTGTTGCCTGAGGTAGAGTGCTGTGGCGTCAGCCTAGCTCACAGCAACCTCAAACTCCTGGGCTCAGTCGATCCTCCTGCCTCAGCCTCCGAGTAGCTGGGACTACAGGCATGCACCACCATGCCCAGCTAATTTTTCTATATATTTTTAGTTGGCCAATTAATTTCTTTCTATTTATAGTAGAGATGGGGTCTTGCTCTTGCTCAGGCTGGTTTCGAACTCCTGACCTTGAGTGATCCGCCTGCCTCAGCCTCCCAGAGTGCTAGGATTACAGGCACGAGCCACTGCACTAGGCCAAGACTTGTATTTTTGGGGACAAGAGGACTCTTAATTCTGTTACCATTACATAAAGAAAAATTACCTAACTTGTAGACTGTGGAAAAATTTTTAAAAATTCAAATCAATAACTTCCAATTTGCAAATTTTTGGAGTTGCAAATATTGGTAACAAAAAGCAATAGGATTTAGAGATATTAACATTAGTGTTTTATTATATAAATTGCTAATCACTTAGGTTTTATTTACAGTAGCATTTTTCTAGCTTACACAGTGGAAGAGCTTCACAGGATGTTCCATTAAAAAAAAAGATTTTAGGCCAGGCGTGGTGGCTCACGCCTGAAATCCTAGCCCTCTGGGAGGCCGAGGGGGGGGCGGATTGCTCCAGGTCAGGAGTTCAAAACCAGCCTCAGCAAGAGCGAGACCCCATCTTTACTATAAATAAAAGAAATTAATTGGCCAACTAATATATATATAGAAAAAATTAGCCGGGTATGGTGGTGCATGCCTGTAGTCCCAGCTACTTGGGAGGCTGAGGCAGCAGGATTGCTTAAGCCCAGGAGTTTGAGGTTGCTGTGAGCTAGGCTGATGCCACAGCACTCACTCTAGCCTGGACAACAAACTGAGACTCTGTCTCAAAAACAAAGAAAAAAAAAAAAAAAAAAAGATTTTAAAATCAAGTTTGTAAGATTTACATTGCATTACCATATTAAAGTCCTTTATAATTGTTAAACCCAATGTTTTCTGAATTTAACAGGGAATTCTTTGTGTGCACATAAAAAAATACTACAGGACAAAATTTGGTTTTTCTGTGCATAAAGACAGTCTGAGATGGTATTCTAAAATGTGAAATTAAAGCAAGAAATTATTCCATTTGACATTGTTTCCAAAACAGTTGTGCAAGGGCATATGAGCTCATTTTAACAGATAATTAGCATAAATTTTTATGAACCTACCTGAATATCCAATAATACTTCCCAGCCAAGACAAAAGTTTCAAACCAAAATTCTGATGCGCAACAATAGATGAATGCATAACTTGAACTTTGAGTGGCTTTGTCTGTCTGCTGGTATTTCTCTTAAAAAGAAATGGCAGGATTGAAATACTAACTTAAAAATCTATTTTACTGGCAGAAAAAAGTTAACATTTTTATTTAATATAACCACACCATCATAACAGAGTTTTTCACTCATGTATGTAAGAAAACCACCACTGGACGGGCACAGTGGCTCCGCCTTTCTCCTAGCACTCTGGGAGGCTCGAGGCAGAGCGGATCACTCAAGGTCAGGAGTTCGAAAACAGCCTGAGCAAGAGCAAGACCCCATCCTCTACTATAATAGAAAGAAATTAATTGGCCAACTAAAATATATAGAAAAATAGCTGGGCATGGTGGTGCATGACCTGTGTCCCAGCGCTACTCGAGGCTGGAGGCAGGAGGATCACTGAGCCCAGGAGTTTGAGGTTGCTTGTGAGCTAGGCTGCGCCATATGCACTCTAGCCAGGGCACAGAGTGAGACTCGTATCCAGAAAAAAAAAAAAAAAAATGATCGTCTTGTGTATAAGTGAATTGGAATCTGTCAGCTATTCTTTAGGGCGAAAGACTGGTAAGATAAACACATGAAAAAGGAAAAAGAAAACCACCACTGTGTTGGCCTTACTTGATTCATCCTAATTTTCTAAAATAATCCTTGGATTAAAAAAATAAGAAGGTCCAGCCAGTTTATGAGATTAACTTGAATCTTTAGTTATATTTGAAAATCTGCCTTACCAATTATTAATATAAATGATTTAAATGCTTAAACTTGGTTTATGTATTTGATTTTTTTTTTTTTTTGAGACAGAATCTGGCTCTGTCACCTAGCCTAGAATGCAGTGGCATGATCATAGCTCGCTGCAACCTCAAACTCCTGGGCTCAAGTGATCCTCCTGCCTCAGCCTCCCAAGTAGCTGGGACTACAGGCGTGCACTACCACGTCTGGTTAATTTTTCTACTTTTTGTAGAGATGGGGTCTTGCTCTTGCTCAGGCTGGTCTCAAACTCCTGGCCTCAAGCAATTCTCCCGCCTTAGCCTCCCAAACTGCTAGTATTACGGGTGTAAGCCACTGCGCACAGCCTAGATTCATTTCTTAATAAAACTACACACTTAAATAATTTACTTTATTGCACAGATATGTTATCAATATATTTTTTAAGAATTGTGGTAAAATACACATAAAATTTATCCTCTTAACCATTTTTAAGTGTACAGTTTATACATTCACCTAGTATGAAACCAATCTCCAGAACTCTTTATCTCGCACAACTGAAAATCTGTACAGTACTCATTTAACAAGTCCCTGCTTTCCCTTCCCCTAGCACCTAGCAACCACTATTTTATTTTTCTGTCTCTCTGAATATGACTATGGTAGGTACCCCATTGAAAGTGTAATCATACATATTTACCTTTTTGCTACTGGCTTATTTTACTTAGCATAATGTCCTCAAGGTTCATTCATGTTGTAGCATGTATCAATATTTTCTTCCTTTTTAAGGTTGAACAATATTCTACTATATGTATATACTACATTTGTTTCTGTATTCATCCATCAACAGACATTTGAGTTGCTTCTACCTCTGGTTCTTGTGAATAACGGTGCTTGAACAGGGGTGTGTAAGTATCTCTTTGAGACCCCGCTTCCAATTCTTTTGCATATATACTCAGAACCAAAATTGCTGGATCTTATAATAACTTTTAATGTTTTGAGGAATCATGATACTGTTTTCTATATTGGCTACACTATTTTACTTTCCCACCAGTAGGGTACAAAGGCTTCAATTTCTCCATATTCTTGCCAACCTTTTTTCTTTTTCAGAGACGGGAGTCTCCCCCTATGTTGCCCAGGCTGGAGGGCAATAGCTATTCACAGGTAGGATCATAGTGCACTGCAGCCTTGAACTACTGAGCTCAAGTGATCCTCCTGCCTCAGCCTCCTGAGTAGCTGGGACTATAGGCACATACCCGGCTTCAACTTTTTTTTTTTTTTTTGACAGCAGCCATCCCAATACATATAAGATGGTATCTCACTGCAGTTTTGATTTCCATTTCCCTAATGGTTAGTGATGTTGAGCATGTTTTCATGTTCTTATTGGCCATTTGTGTATTTTCTTTTGATAAACATCTATTCAAATACATAAACACTTTTTAAAATTCATTTTTTATTTGAATTCTCTTTTCACCCTGATTCATCCCCTCTCTATAACCTACATTAACAGGGTAAGTCTGTGTATTTTCTCTATGTATATTATGTGTATACATTTATAAAGATCTTAATTTTGTTGGTTTGACTACAAAAATGGGATATTAAACATACTTTTATGCATCTTAGCTTTAACTTTTTTTGTTAATTACTACATAACAGTCTGGGATATAGATTAAAATATCCTCTACAGAAGGGTTTTCATGTTCACTTTATTTTCAGTCTTGTGAGATTACAAAAAAAGCAGCACTGGACTGAACATCTTTTAGACACACTTACCAGTGCCTGTATTTCTATAGGATGAATTCCTAGGAGAGGTAAAGCTTTAACAGATGTTACTAGATTGTTTTCCAAAAATGCTGCAGCATTTTTACATGTGTATTCCTATTCTCTGCAAATAAGATTTTTATCATTGTAATTTCATGTATATTGGCCATCTAGATTTTCTCTGTTGTGATCTGTCTTTTCATATCCTTTGTCCACTTTTCTATTTTATTGTTTGTTCTCTAATTGATAATCTATAAGCATAATTTCTGATACATTACTACATTGAATATGTTCAGATATCAAGGAAGAATTTCTTATACAAGCCATAAGACATACAAATCATAAAGGAAAAGATATATTTGCTATTAATACGTTAAAATTTGAAGCTTTTGCTCAATGAAAGGAATCACAAACTTAAATGAGTAAGAAAAAGACAATCCCACACAAAAAATGGGACATTCACTGAAAACTTAAATGACCAATACAATAAACATAAAATAGGATACTTAGAAATCAAGGAAATGCAAATTTACCTCATGAGATATCATTCTGTATACATCAGATTGGCAAAGAAATGGGAACTCTCATACACTGCTGCTGAGAATGTGTGTGCATGCCGTGTGTGTGTGTTTTATGAAATGGGGAAGTGAGGAAGAGAGGGTCAATTTCCTTTTTTTTTTGAGAAAGAGTCTCACTCTGCTGCTCTGGTATCATCACAGTACACTGCACTCTCAAACTCTTGGACTCAAGCAATTCTCCTGTCTCAGCCTCCTGTGTAGCTGGGACTACAGGAATGCACCAGTAAGCCAAGCTAATTTTTTATCTTCCATTTCCTATTTTCTTGCTCAGGCTGGTCTTGAACTCTTTTTTTTTTTTTTTTTTTAAAGACAGAGTCTCATTCTGTTGCCCAGGCTAGAGTGCCGTGGCCTAGCTCACAGCAACCTCAAACTCCTGGTCTCAAGCGATCCTCCTGCCTCAGCCTCCCGAGTAGCTGGGATAGCGGGCATACGCCACCATGCCCGGCTAATTTTTTCCATATATATATATTTAGTTGGCCAATTAATTTCTTTCTATCTTTATAAGAGATGGGGTCTTGCCCTTGCTCAGGCTGGTCTTGAACTCCTGACCTTGAGCAATCAACCCACCTCGGCCTCCAAGATTACAGGTGCCAGCCACGGTGCCTGGTCATAATTTTTATATTTTTTTTGTAGAGACAAGGTCTTGCTAGTCAGCTTTTGCTCAGGCTAGTCAAACTCCCGGCCTCAAGTGATCCTCCTGCCTCGGCCTCCCAAAGTGCTGGGATTATAGGCATGAGCTACTGCGCCCAACCGGTAACATATACTGATACCACAGTTTTGAAGATGAACTAGGCAAAATCTATTAAAGCTGAAAATGCTCATACTCTAAAAACTCAGAAATTCCCTTTCTTGGAAACTTTTACATCTATGGAACAAGGAGACAAAAGAATGTTCATAGCAGAAATATCTGTCACAAAAAACCCTGGAAACACCCTAATTGCCCATTAATAGGAAAATGGATAAACTAGTATAATCATAAATGGAATACTTTACAATGGTTTAAAAAATGAATTAACTACCACATGTATCAACATAGACAAATCTAAAACAACACTGACATGAAAAGGAAAGTCGCAGTATAATACATTCAGTATGAATCTTGTTATATAATGCTTAAAAGCCGCCAAATCAATATATATATAATATCAACAGATACTTAATACATGAAGTATAAAGGCATGCAAGAGAATCAAAAAAATCAATGAAAGTACTTATCTCTAGGGAAAGAGGAAGGGTAATGGGATTAAGAAGAGTTAATACAGGGGCCTCCATACCATTTATTTTAAATTAATATAAAGAAAATAAGATATAATGTGGGCACACAGGTGTTTGTTGTGTTGTTTTTGTCTGTATACTTAAAATGTTTTATGATATATAAAATTATGTTTTAAAAAGAACATTTATATAAAATGCAGTTACATGGAATAATTAAAAAATAATTTTTTTTTTTTGAGACAGAGTCTTGGTTCTGTTGCCTGGGCTAGAGTGCTGTGGTGTCAACCTAGCTCATAGCAACCTCGAACTCCTGGGCTAAAGCAATCCTCCCTCTCTAGTAGCTGGGACTACAGGTGTGCACCACCACGCCTGGCTAATTTTTTTAGTTGTCTGGCTATAAAAATAAATTCTAACTTTAAAAAACAGATCTAAATGTGGAGAATAGTTCTCTTTTAGAAAAATAATACATTAAATGCCATTAAGATATGGTGTGTGTCCTGCCAAATTGTACCAAGAAACAACTCTCCCCAAATTCTAATTTTGGCAGTAAAGACCAATTTAATTCCTAAAATGTAATGTTAATTAAAAACAAAACAAAAAGAAAAAAACTATCTAATACTTCTTCATGGAGAAATAAGTAGAAAAGATTTATCTTATCAAAGTATTCATTTTCTATATCAATCTTACACAGCTTTAAAAACTAGATAAAGCAATAATGCAATACTCAAGAAACATCTTTAAACAATTTTTGGTTGACATTGGCTATACATTCATGAAAGCAGAAAAATGTGTTCATAAATACTGAAATATGAACCTAGCTTAAACTAATAAAAAATAATAATGTAAGCATGTTTTAAAATTACTTACCACAATTACTGATTTTGCTTGCTCACAGTATTGGAAATCTCCGTATCGAACTGACCTACGTCCCTATAAATAAAGATATTAACATGTGAATATATTCAATATTAATAACTTTTAAGCCAGTAAACTAACATGTTTGAGCACATAACTCTAATTTTTAATATTTTTAATGTCAATTCTACTCATTAGTGAAAAGTAAATTAAAAATTTCTTTCAAAGCTCTCTTAACTATTTTAAGCCATTAATAAGTATATTTCCTTGAGCAACACAATATTTATTCTTCTAGGCTTCTATAATTTCCATTCTCATAAATGAATATTTTTAATCATTGGGTAGAATGATGGTAACTGTATTATTTCCTCTTAAATTTTCTATCTGGTAATAGCTTAAGTTATACCCAATACATTTGGGGCAACATTCGAATGACATTTTTAAAAAAGCCTAGACATATACCTTTAACTCAATTTTCTGGGGTAACTTATCTGTAGTAAAAATTCAATTTACTATGTGGTATCAATAAGATAAAATTACTTACATCTCGATCTACTGTAGTTGCAAAACCAATGGCTTCTTTTTGTGAACAGTTAACAGCTTTCTGAAGAGTATAAATAACTTGTTCATACGTGTGAACTTCATCATTAAACAGCATGCAATAGTAGGTGTCACTCTTCTCTCTGAGTGATAAAACATTAATGATGTATTAGATTATCTATTTGCATGTTATCTTGTTCCAGGCTGATTTATTAAGAGGATACTTTGTCCTACAGAATGTGCTAGGTACTGGGCACATGTCTGTTAAAGAATTCATCTGTGGTCACTGTGCTCTATGATACTACAGTCTGGTGGGTAAAACAGATATTGAACATATAATTAACTCTCTATATACTGGTTGTTATCAAGAACAGCAGGATGCTAAAGTAGGGTATAGTAGGTCTGGGGGTTCAGAGAAGAACTTCTAGGGAAGTAATCTGACATTCAAAGTCAGAACTGGTTATTGGTGGTTCTCAAGTGGGGGTAATTCCCCTTTGCCTCCCATAGCTGACCATTTGGCAATGTCTGGAGACATTTTTGGTTGTCATGACTGTGGCTTGGGGGTGCTATTGGTATCTAAAGAGTAGAGGCCAGGAATGCTACTATCTTGCAATCCTCCATCTTTGCTCCCATAACAAAGAAGTAATCTGGTCCCAAATGCCAATAGTGCCAAGGCTGAGAAACCCTGGGCTAGCGGAAGGTGAAAGCAAAGGTGCTGAGGTGGCAGAGGTAAATACTAGGACCTGGAGCACAGGTAGGAAGGAGGAGATCAGTATGAGATTAGCTTGGTCTGGAGAGAGGTAGAACTCTTGAACGCCTTATAATGGATTTTGATTTTTGCCACTGTAAGGGCAATCAAGGATTTGAAATAGGAGATATGATCAGATTTGCCTTGAAATTCACTTTGGCCGCAGTGTAGAGAATGACTGACTCTTAAGTGGCAAGAGTGTACATGGCAGCCCAGCTAGGAAGCTGTGTTGCCCAAGGATGAAATTAAGGTAATTTGGAGTAGGATGATAGTAATGGAAACGAGCAGTAGAACAATTTGATAGAGGGAGAACCAGCTGAAGTTGGCATCTAAGTGAATATGGGTGATTCAGGTTTCTGAGCAGATGGAAACTAAGATGGGAAACATTATAAGAGAAGCAAATTAAATTCTTTTTTTCTTCCATGCTAGTGGCCCTGAGCCTACAACAGAACAAAATAAATACAAACTATTCTATTCTCTAGGGTCTAAGCTTAGATTGTAGATGAATGATTCCCAAACTGAAGTACATGAAGATAAAGTCATGAGGTACTAAGTCACCCTCCCTCCCTCCCTCCCTCCCTCTCTTTCTCTGTCTTCCTCTCTTCCTCTTTCTCTCCCTTCCTTCCTTCCTTCCTTTCCCTCCCTCCCTTCCTTCCTTCCTTTCCCTCCCTCCCTTCCTCCCCCCCTCCCCCCCTCCCTCCCTCTCTCCTTTTTTTATTTTTTTTGAGACAGTCTTACTCTGTTGCTCGGGCTAGGGTGCTGCGGCGTCAGCCTAGCTCACAGCAACCTCAAACTCCTGGGTTCAAGCAATCCTTCTGCCTCAGCCTCCCGAGTAGCTGGGACTACAGGCATGAGCCACCATGCCCGGCTAATTTTTTCTATGTATTTTTAGTCGGCCAATTAATTTGACCAAATAAGTGGCCCTTTCCTCACAAACGATACAGCCGATCTTTTTTGATGTCTGAGTTATTTATTTATTTTTTTGAAACAGAGTCTCACTCTGTTGCCTGGGCTAGAGTGCCATGACATCAGTCTAGCTCACGGCAACCTCAAACTCCTAGGCTCAAGCAATCCTTCTGCCTCAGCCTCCTGAGTACCTGGGACTACAGGCATGCACCACCATGCCCGGATAATTTCTTTCTATTTTTAGCAGAGACAGGGTCTTGTTCTTGCTCAGCCTCGTCTAGAACTCCTGGGCTAAAACGATCTGCCCACCTTGGCCTCCCCAGAGTGATAGGATTACAGGCGTGAGCCACCGCGCCTGGCCACTAAGTCACTTTCAACATCTCCCAAAAGGCACAGTATAGTAACACCTCATTTTATTAAAAAACACTTAATTCACAACACTTTAATTATCTGAAACACTACTGACAAAGCAAAAAAGAAACACAACTAATGTCCCTCAGATCCTCATTCCAGCTGGTATTCATTTTTAACTATGAATACAATTCCAACAGTTTTGGTCTTTAACTAAAAGAGAAAGTTGCAAGCACACTAATAAGGAAAAGTAAGCCCGAACCTTAATAGGAAGAATGCCGTGTCTGGTCACAAGTTTGTGATCTCAATAATCTAAGTAAAAATGGTACATATAAACTAAAAAAGCATGAAGTATAGAATACATTTTATAAAAAGTTAGAATCAAATGGTTAAAATTGAGTTTGAGCATTTATTTAAACCAGAAAACTCACTTATATCAAAGAGCTCATTCTCTTAATAATATGTGATAAACAAAAAAGTATAGTTGTAGAGTTAATCTACCAGTTTTATCATACAATCAAAGAGAAAACTGCTTATGCATGAAACCAGTTATAGAGTTTTGACACAGTTAAATATGGCTAAAAACCAACTAACCAACAGAAATCTCCACCAAGAAACTGGATCACACACATATTTAAAAACTATAAAACCAATGATGGTTACTGTTCTAATAAAAACTGATTTTTAAAAAATGATTATATCCTAACTGTATGGGAGTTAAAATTTAGCAGTTCCTCATACACAAAGAATAAATAAGTTATACTTACACCATCTCTAAATCGGCTGGCAATTCACTTTCTTTTTCCCAGGTTAATATCTCCACTGCATACCGAAACATAATAGCAAAAATGTTATAAGTTCGTGCTATCACATCTTCCGACAAATGCACAAGAGGATCCTGAGAAAGAACAGAAAAAAGGCAACAACCATGTTAAATGTACGTTCTCTTTCCCATTCTGCCTCCAACCTTCAAAATAACATAGTAAAAAGGTGACTAGTCTTCCAGTTTCAGCTTCCCCTCAATGCATTTGATCTTATACATTACAGCCTACAAAACAAAGCTTTCTGAAATGTTTAGTTCTGAATAATCCCAGTTATTGAATCAACTGAATCAAAATATTCAATGGCACTCCAATGCCTAATGAATAAATGTAAACATTTTAGAATGGCGTTCCAGGATCTCTAAAACCTAATATCAAACTTTCTTTATAGCTTCATATCCTACTAACCCATAATTTCTAGAGCAAAGGAATATTATCTAAGGATAGAGAAGCAATATTTACTTTTATAAGTATAAAGGAGAGCTTGATTTTGACAATTTTAAAAGTGAGAACTCAATCAAGGTCAGAAAACTGGACCTAGATGTTATAAGAACCATTCACTTGTCTACTTCCTCTCAGCAGGGTAAGATGTGTATGCATGTTAACAGGGAACTTTGTATTTTACACTTAATAGTGAAAAAGTCACTAAATTTTAGGTTAATGTAGAAAATTATTATTTTAAATATATACCATGTCTATTATGGTATCTTTCAATCAAGGCTGGCAAAATGTTCTACATAATCTTTAATCTTAATGGTTTATCTTAAATCTAAACACTTTGTTTAGCTTAATGGCTAAACAGCATTACATTCTTTTCTCAAATTAAAAAACCAGTATGTTACAACATTATGGGATGGGAATTGGTACATACTTGTGTATATGTAAAACATGTATATGACACAATATTTTTGTATATTCACACCAAAGATAAGCCTAGTGGAACTGATATAAAGCAAATGGAGGAGGCGGAGCAAGATGGCAGACGAGAAATACCACCTGACAGAGTGTCTCTGCAGAAAAGGCAGATTCTAGGAGAAATTAGAAGAAGCAAGCATCGAGCATACATCAGAGGAGAGTCAGAAGAAGGGGTACCTGAGACCACGGGAGGAGGTTGTGGAGGAGAACTCGAAGCAGAGACCTCCCGGGTAGCCTGCAGACCAGCGGCAAGGGCAGGTGCAGCAGTTAACTTTCCCTTCCCTTGAATCTCGGAACGCTGGTGGGCTCCCCAGTGGTTGTAGAGACCTGCGGACACCAGCCTAGAGACAGCCACCACCAGTGAGCGGTAAGCCTGTAGCGGACACCGCACTAGGCTCCCAACTCCCTCGGGGCACCTCCGGGTGCACAGACCTGAGCTGCGTGGCAGGCGCCACATTGCCTCATTCTCCCCTCCCTCATCCCTATCCACACTGCCGAAACAGACAACATAGCCACCAGCCAGAGGCACCTCCAGGGAATGGGACGTTCCCTTTTGGGGCCCTACGGCTGACTGAGGGGAACTCAGACGGTCAGTTCCCTACCCACCAGCTCTCTCAGGTGCTGCTGGCCCAGTGATTCCAGGAGAACAGGGCAGATCCTGAGGCTGAGAGACATTAACCCAGCTTGGGCTCCCCATGGGTGAATTAGGACTGGCACTCCTCTTGCTGGTGCGGTTAGGCATTGAACTCCTGGGCCCAGAGGTCACACCTGCAGACCAGATCCCATGCACCCAGGTCTCGCATTGCCTGGGGCACAGAAGGGATATACATGAACAGCCTACTGAGGTGTGTGCGCCTTCAGGGGCAGATCAGCATCCTTGAGGGCAACCCTCCTTCCAAAGGGGGGCCGTGCGCTGGGCGAACCTGCTCAGGGAACCTCCCGGCCGGCATCACAGCCAGGGGAGGCCTGGTGGCCTGACCCTCACATTAGGTTTCTTCACATAATCCCACATCTCTTGTAGGCTTTGCTCTTTTCTCTTGTTTCTCTGCTCTATCTCTGTGACTGATTTATTTAATTGACTCACTCCCAGACCAGCCCTCACTGAGGGGGAGAAAAGGACACACCTGGAAGTCCCAGGGCCCCACCCACCACCTCAGGCACTAGAGTGCCTCTCCAGAGGAATAAGAACTGGATACAAGACCCAAAAGCAACAGTCTGTTCCTCTGAGCAAGCGCCACCTACTAATTGGGAGGACATTCTGCACACCCTTTTCATGGCACCTACTGACTCATCATACAGCAAGTTCAAGAAGCTCAGAGGACCCCTGTGAGATTCAATGCAAACAGGAAAACGTCACAACATGCAGTCATCAGACTGACCAAAGTATCAACTAAAGAGGCCCTTCTAAGAGCTATAGACAAAAGAAGCAAATAACATACAAAGGAAAGCCGATCTGAATAACGCCAGACTTCTCTACTGAGACTTTTCAAGCAAGGAGAGACTGGGGTCCCATTCTCACTCTTCTGAAACAGAACAATGCCCAGCCTAGAATCTTATCCCCTGCAAAACTAAGTTTTGTATATGAAGGAGAAATCAAGACATTCTCAGACAAGCAAAGACTGAGGGAATTCACCAAGACAAGACCAGCCCTTCAAGAAGTACTCAAAACAGTGTTACCCACAGATCAGCACAATAAACACTCACGAATGTAAAATCTACTCAAAGCTAAAGATCAAAGCCCAGATACTACAATGGCTCAAGAGAGAAAGCAAAGCAACAAAGTTCAACCCAACATAATGAACAGAAATCTGCCCCACCTATCAGTTATCTCAATAAATGTGAATGGCTTGAACTCCCCACTCAAGAGACATAGGCTGGCCGAATGGATAAAAAACACAAGCCAGGCCGGGCAGCGGTGGCTCAAGCCTGTAATCCTAGCACTCTGGGAGGCCGAGGCGGGCGGATTGCTCGAGGTCAGGAGTTCGAAACGCAGCCTGAGTAAGAGCAAGACCCCGTCTCTCTATATAAATAGAAGAAATTAATTGGCCACTAATAATATATATAAAATTAGCCGGGTGTGGTGGCGCATGCCTGTAGTCCCAGCTCTCGGGAGGCTGAGGCAGCCAGGATGCTTGAGCCCAGGAGTTTGAGGTTGCTGTGAGCTAGGCTGACGCCACGGCACTCACTCTAGCCTGTGCAACAAAGCGAGACTCTGTCTCAAAAAAAAAAAAAAAAAAACACAAGCCAAGTATCTGCTGCCTTCAGGAAACACATATAACCTGCAACAACACAGTTAGACTAAAGGTAAAGGGGTGGAGAACAATATTTCAAGCAAATGGAAGCCAAAAGAAAGCTGGTGTGGTGGTGTTGATTACAGATGACTTAGTTTTTAAACCAACAAAAGTAATAAAAGATAAGGAAGGTCACTATATAATGGTGAAGGGTACAGTTCAACAAGAAGACATAACAATTCTAAATATATATGCACACAACCTTGGTGCACCCAGATTCATAAATCAAACTCTACTTGATCTAAACAAATGGATAAACAACAACACCATAATAGTCGGAGAATTCAACACCCACTGACAGCACAGGACAGATCCTCCAAACAGAAAATCAACAAAGAAATAATGGACTTAAACAGAACTCTAGAACAAATGGGCCTGACTGACATTTACAGAACATTCCACCCCAAAATCACTGAATATACGTTTTTCTCATCAGCTCACAGGTCATTCTTTAAGATTGACCATATCCTAGGACACAGAGCACATCTCAAACAATTTAAAAAAAAAATTATACCATGTATCTTTTCAGACCACAATGGAATAAATGTAGAAATCAATCCTAACAGGAGTCCTCATTTCTACACAAAGTCATGGAAACTAAACAACCTTCTGCTGAACGATCACTTCATAAATGAGGAAATCAAGATGGAAATCAAAAGATTCTTTGAACTAAACGACAAAGGTGACACAAGTTACCAAAACCCGTGGGACACAGCTAAAGCAGTCCTGAGAGGAAAGGTTATTTCCATAAAGCCTATATCAAAAGTCGAAAAGATACAAATAGACAAACCTAATGAATCATCTCAAAGAGCTGGAAAAAACAGACCAATCCCAAACCCAGCAGAAGAGTGAAATCATCAAGATCAAATCAAATCAGAACTAAACAAAATTGTCACAGGACTATATGGAAGATTAATAAAAAAAAAAAAAGTTGTTCTTTGAAAAAATAAACAAAATTGACACACCATTGGCTAGACTAACAAAATGCAAAAAAGAAAAATCTCTAATACGCTCCATCAGAAACAATAAAGGAGAAATACAACTGATGCCATGGAGATATAATTTATGAATACTACAAAAACCTCTATGAACACAAAATGGAAAATGTAGAGGAAATGGACAATTTCTTAGAAACAACAGCAGCTCCCTAAGGCCTCAACCAGGAAGAAATAGATTCTGAACACACCATATCAGAGTACTGAAATGAAACAGCAAATAAAAAACTTCCTAAAAAGAAAGTCTCTGGACCAGATGGTTTCACACCCAATTTTACCACACCTACAAAGAAGAACTGGTGGCCTATCCTGCAAGAACTTATATCCACAACATTGAGAAGGATGGAAATCCTCCCAAGCACATTTTATGAAGAAAACATAACCCTGATACCCAAATCAGGAAAAGGATCGTAAGCAAGAAAAAAGAATAACCTACACAGACCATCATCCCTTAGAATATGATGGCAAAAATTCCTCCAAGCCAAACATCCTAGCGCATCAAATTCCAGGTGCTTGTCAAGAAAATAATTCATCACAGCAAAGTGGCCGCTTCATCCCCAGGGGTGCAGGGATGGTTCAACCAATATGCCAAAATATAAATATAATTCACCATAATAAAACAGAAGCCAAAAATAAAGATCTCTCAATAGACGCAGAAAAAGGTCATTTGAACCCCAAAATCAACCCCACGCCTTTTATGATAAGAAAGCTCACCAAAATGGCATAGACGGCTAGCCTAAAAGATGATACAAGCCATATATTGAACAAAACGCCGCCCACCAGCCAATATTCATACTGAGATGGGGAAAAATTGAAAGCGCATTCTACTAGAACTGGAACAAGAACAAAGTGCCCACTATCTCCACTCTCTATTAA